CTTCAAAATACAATCTAAATTCCTTTCATTATCTAGCCCAACTAGTTCTTCGTCTTCATCTCTAGCTACTCTCCCTCCTCACTCCATATGTAGAGCATGCACTTAACCAGCCTTGCCTCTCTGCCTTTACACATTGTATCCAGGGCTCTAAGGCCAATGTCCCACTTTACTCAGAAAGCAGATTTTTCTCATCCCTCAAACCTTTGCTCAGATATCCCCTCTTCCAGAGAGTCTTACCTGAACCATCAAGGCGGTTTGCGTTTCCTGTTTCTATCATAGTGCTTATCTTCTTCTATTGAGATGGTCTATTGACTTTTCTATCTTCCCCATTAGAGAGTAGATTCCTTGAAATATATATATTTTATTCACCTTGGAATAGTTAGTAACCAGCACAGTGCCTTGCACATAGCAGGTGCTCAGAGTATGTTGAATGACTGATTAATATATATGTATAGAGAGGGAACACGTATATGCAGAAAATAACTATTTGATAAACTCAGCAAATGGCACCAATCTTGCCTAATCTATATCAGAATTCAGGACTAACTCAAAATCAGAAACCACCTTTTTCAATAGTCAGAGGTGTAACCAATATCCTCCCTAGTTTTTCTACCCATTCCTTTTCTCTAGAACCTCTTTATCATTTGCAAATAACTTTTCACATATTCACATACATTATGCCATGGAATCATTAAAACTACTACGAGATCATGTTCCTTAGCTAGGATTTAATGAAACAATCTCAGTATGTCCTAATGGTGTAGTAAGTAAGGCAATGAACTGAGAGTTCAAAGAGCTGAGCTCAAGTCTCTGTTTTACTGTTTACCTACAGGTGTGTCAGTGGAAAGATCCCCTAATCCATCTAAACTGTAGCTCCCTTTCCCACTTTGCCATCCGCAGTGAAGGTAAATTGTTATTTTTATACATTGTTGTCATTATTATCCAAGTTGGCATTTGGAGGTAGCTAATTCAGCCAGAAAAAGCATAGACTGTATGGTAAAATGGGCCCTGTTTTTAATCCTAACTTTACTACATAATAGTTGGGTGACCCTATCAAGAGGTTAAGCCAGTTACTTAACCTCTCTGAGACAGTTTTCTCACATATACAGATACTAATAATTTCCTTTTAAGTTGTTTTAAAATGTAGATGACATAAAAAGTAGAAAAAAAATTTGTGTATTTTTAAAGTGCCAATAAAATTATTATTTTTGTTTGGCCAGTTTTAAGAATGGTGTGTTTATCAGAATGCTTTGCATGCATCATTATAAAAATATTTAATAGATGTGCCTTTAAAAGCTTACTGACAACTGTACCTTAGGTTATAAAAGGCTCTGAGAAGTCCTGCTGTAGAGAGATCTGTTTAACTTTGTCTAACCCACCATTTTCCCAACTTATTTGAACATGGGACACAATCAGTGTCTTCTGGAATAGCAAACATGACAAGAGCAGAAAAAAACTGTATTTTCCTCACATTTTTCCCAGATGACTCTCATGACGGAGACTCAAAAACAAAACCCAAAAACCCAAAAAAGTAAGAATAGTGAAAATGCTCCCCACTCTACCATCCACTGACTTATTATTTACAAAGTGCATATTTTCCAGAAAACAATTAACTATGTACATACATACATAGGAGAAATTCAGGTAGAGTTTTAAGAGTAAACTTCATAATTTCTGAAGGAAAAAGACATTTGGATGCAATTGATCAAAAGCATGAGGACTAAAAACTGTTCTCTTAGGGAATTTGTGATTGCCACTGGCTGAACTGTACTCTTGGTAATTTCTGGAATCATATGAGAAAAATAAGAAAGGAAAGTACTTTCACATTCATTCACAGGCACAGTTTCTTTAAAGTCATAATTGCTTTTTTCACATGGTAGCAAAAACTCACTTTATTATTTCAAATAGCTCTTTCCCAGCATCACCTCCTGCGACTTTAAAAGCTGCCATTAATTTGCCATTAGTAAACTTTAATAAAAATGAATATGTATCATTGCTTTTAGCAGTTGCATTGTGACCTATGTGTAAATACATGCAAATCTTATCCACAATGTTTCAATGGCTATTTCTAAACAAGCAAACGCTTTGATGTTATTTCAAAAGACTGTATCTACAGAAAGCTTTTAGAATCTGGTCCTTCCCTAAAATAATTAGAATTTCATGGAAACACAAGAAGCAGTTACCAACCTAGCTAAAATCTATTTTATTGATCCCAGAAAGTAGCATGTTAAAACATGAATAATGACCTCTGTGCTTTGAACCACTCAGTACTCTGGTGTTTCTAAAATATTTGTGTATAATGTATTGAAAAGAAAAGCTAGAAGAGGCAGAGGAATGCTTCTAATTTAAGGAATCATAGTGAGTCTAATAGAATAATCTGAGATGAGTTGCACTTCATCGGCTTATTATCAAAGATGCATCTACTCCCCCAAAGTTCCATATGAATATTCAACACTCAGAGAAATAGAAACATATTAGAGTGCATCTGAGTGTCAAGTTCCATAAGCTTTCTTATCCCTTTCCAATGTCCTACATTAGGCTAAAGTTTTGTTTTTTTTGAAAAGTATACTTCATAAATAGAAAATGATGCTGACTAGTCTTAGATCATGCTTTCACCAGATTACTCTGGCATCCTCCAAATATCTTAACCAGAATCTGAGAATAGTTAGATCAGATGATAATTAAAACTTATCTACTAAACACATTATTCTGAAAATGTTGACAAATATTTCCAGAATATTATATCTGATAATACTTCCAACTATAATATTCCTCCTAGACGATCACACATTATCAGTATTAACTTCAAAGTCTCTAAGGAAAATACTATAGAAATGTGTGACCACAGTTTCTCCAAGTGCTGGGGTCAGTTAATGCATTTGTCTGACAGCCTGTGGTTTTCTTTCTGCATTCAAACCTTACCCTTCTATCCCTTCTCTCTCCACCCTCACTCCCTACCTTTGCAATAACTTTTCTGTATGATAAGTTGGCCCAGTGGCTATGGTCTCTCTGATATGTTTTTAGGCTCATATCTTTTCCTAATTATTTCTCACTTTCTGTATACTATTCCCTGAGAAAATTAAGCATCATTTTTCAACTGGGGAGATGTTTGGTTTAGAAGGTATAGTAAACACAACTATAATTAAAAGGATTTCCTCAGTTCACAGAATTTTATATCAGATTTTTCATAAAGTATCAATCTGTTAAAAAGTTATAGGTTTTCAGTTAATAGGATAGAGAAGTATTTGCATTATTTACATAAGTCTAGAAACTTGAAAGGTGCTTAAAATTAAGTGATTTCCAAATCTTGATAAAGTTTGAAAAAGTTAACAAATGCGATGTTAAGCTTAATTTACCATATTATCAGATTAGAAATGCTAATCAGATGCATCCTAGCCACTCAGTAATTTCAATAATTAAATTAAGCACTTAAGTCCTTCATCATACTTGAAGAGCATCAAGCTATATGTCTTCCCAACAGTCATCCATGGGAAATACAGCTATCATATTTAACTAGCATTTCGAAAAGTTACTTTGAGTCCAAAATATGTATGAAGGTTTCCAACATCAATTTGTCTGACTGCATATCAAATATCACTTTTCCAGAAAGTATCTGCTTGGAAAAAAAAAATGTTTCACAATCTGAAAGGTCACCATCTATGGCAATGTTCAGTCAGCTTTACAAAGCACTGGTCCCAGGAAATGTTGTGAAATTACCACACTTGCTGTTCTCAGGTGAAAACATGGTTGCTCGTCATAAATGAAAAGAAGTTTGTGGTTCTATTCCACAAATCCTCCGAGTTGTTTCCACAGGGGATACTTCGGCATAGTCAACAACTCATATCTTTTATCACAAAAATAGCCACAATAAAATTGAAAAAGAGCACTAGTACCACAGAGTGCAGTTCCATATTGGTGTACTTTCTAGGAATTGTCCTCATTTCACTTATACCACCTATTTACTAAGTTATTTTAAAACCGAAAAAAGCTCTGAGATATTTGAATCTATAGATTCCATACAAGTAATTTTTATAGACGTAAAATATTGCTTCGAAATCTGCTAGTAACATGTAAAAGTCAAAAGAATGTATTCCTGAGCATACTATTTCATTCTGCTCCTAAGTCCATGCAGTGACTGTTCAAGTGGTGGTTTCCCTCTGCCCAAGTTTAGCCTTGTATTCCAGTTTATAACTGAGGTGATCCCTGTGTAAAAACACTTGGTAGACCAGATGACAAGTAGCAAAGTAGCCAATGAAGATGCCAAGTACAACTAAAGTTAACATGGTGCCCCACCCCTTTTCCAAAGGCTCGTAGTTATATGAGAAATTACATATGGAGATATTGTAAGATAATCAGAAAGGGCACTCTAAAAGTAAATCTGGGCCCCATAAAGTTTACTGACTCATGCTCGGAGATATATATATATAGATATATAGATATATATATATGACAAGTCTTTTGCTTATTAGGATCTTTACTTTGAGCAAAGCACTTCTTCAGCAGTGATCATTAATATGTGGGTACTTTTGAGCAGCAGCAACTCCCATTTCACTAAAATTAGCAATTTTTTTTTCACCAGGGAACAAAAGAAACCATCCAAATGGCAACACACACCTCAAATTCAACATAAAAATAAAGGAATTTTAGAACATGTGACAGGAATCCTCTCCTACTCACTGAAACAATATCACTAAAAATTGGGAGGGGTGGTTGTGGCATGCGAAGAGCGAGAAGCCAGTGAGGCAGAGTGGGAAGACAGAAGGGATGAGGTGATCGAAACCACTTTGCTGTCCTTCCCTTGCTTCTCACTTCCCTCCCACCCTAGACTGAGATTGCAAATTTTAAAAATGCAAGCCCCAGTTCAAAAGAAACCCCCAAAACTGGAAGAGTGTGGCTAGGGTTACTACCACAGCAACCCTGAAAGATTTCCGTGCAAAAGCAAAGCAGTGGGGATGTAGTAGCAGCAGCAAGCCTCCCTCTTCCCCCACCCATTACAGTACCTCCAGATCTGCCCGAGCTGCAAGATGTGGATGAGTGACTGCAGGAGCCAGATGCAGAAGGAGCAGGACGCAGACCTGTGCTTGCCACTGGCCCGGGTAGCCCCGCTGCTGTTGCTGCCGCTGTTGGCCGCGGCGATGTTGCTCTTGCTGGCGTTGGATGCTTGCCTTTGCGGCGTGGAAGGACGAGCCTCGCCTTCTCCGGCTGCAGACCCACCGCCGACCACCGTCTTGCAATCGGCTGCAGGTTGCGGACAGCTGGAGGCAGCAGCGGCTGTGGCGCTGTCCTCGGTGCTGAAATCGTGCACAAACCAGCGGAAGCTGAACACTTGCACCGACAGCGAGCCGAGCACCACGAAGAAGAGCGTGAGCCCGAACCACCAGCGCTGGCCGCGCAGGTAGTAGTCCACGGCGAGCCAGACGTCCGTACCCACGTCCGCGAAGTACACGGCCACGGCGGCCAGGATCCAGAGGCAGTCCCACAGTGAGTAGCGCCGCTGCTCCCTGCCCAGGCGCAGGCACAGCGCCGCCGAGCCCGCCCCGCTGCTGCCCGGGCCGGCGACGCCGCCGGAGCCGCCCGAGCCCCCGGAGCTGCCGCTCCCGGCGCAGCAGCAGCAGCAGCGCGAGCAGCCGCCGCCGTCCGGGCAGCAGCCGCCTCCGGCCGCCTCCTCGTCCTCGGCTCCCGACCCCGACGGCAAGCCCGGAGCCAATCCCTGCACCGAGCCCGAGTGGTCCGAGTTCTGCAGCGGGGTGAACGCCACGTCGCTGCTCTTCTTCATTTTCAGCCTCCCGTCTGATTTAGCGGCCATGATGCCTCCACACCGGAGGAGAGCCCTCCTTTATCTGACACCTTTCCCCGCTGTCTCCTCCTCCCGCCACCTCCTCGCCTCGCCCCGGCTTCCCTCCCAGGCGGCGCGGCTCCCCCTCCTCCTGCTCCTGCGCCGGCTCGCCCGCCGCCCGCCGCCGCCCGCCGCCCGCCGGGCTGGGCGCTGGGCCGGGCTAGCGCTTCTCGCCCGCGCGCCGCCCGCCGCCCGCCGGGCTGCGATCCCGCCGTCCTTCTCCGCGGCTGCCGCCGCCTCTGGCCGCCCGGAACGGCGCCTTCCCACAGCCGGAGCTCAGCCCCGCCGGCCCCGCGCCGCCCTCGCACTGTCCCCCAAGGCCACGGCTGCCCCCGCCCTCCCCTGGGCTTTTTGTTTTTTACACCAGCCCCATTTATCACTTCCAACCTGCCTATCGCCCGGCACCAACTGTTGCAAGTTCCGTAATAACTGCTGCTATGAACTTCTCGGTCGAAACTGCTCCTCCCCAGAGCCTGTTTAAGAAGCAGAAATAAGAAAAAATGCCCGGATGCCCGTGGATGCACTGAACTCTTAAGATTTTCAAAGGTGAAATGGAAACACGTTATTAAGTCATTGGGAGACTTCGCTAACATTGGAAAACCTAGTAAAAAGTGGAAATCAAGCGTTTTAAATTAAAAAAAAAAGTTTCTACTAGCAAGACTGATCATAGGCGAACTGTTCAGGGAATTTCGGAACATTGTGCTAAAGTGAGAATATTTAATATTTCCAAAAATAGACTTAACTAGGAATACTTAAAGCAGAGTATTGGAATTGCTTTAATTTGAGATTTCAGGAAAGGGCTTGAAGACAAATATTTTCGATGAGCAACCCTCTTGAAATAATTGAATCAGGCTACACAGAGCACTACCTGTTTCATTTAAACATAATGCTGGTCTTAATTTTGTGACTGTTACTTTGAAGAGAGAGGGAAGATGGGGAACGAAAGGAGAAAGGGCAAAGAAATGGGGTGGAAAGAGAAAAGCAGAAGAGATCGCCCTATACCAGTAGGCCTAGTACCCTAGGATTTTGGCCTCTTTCTACCACCTTTGGTGTTTAAGATTAAAGACAGTGCATTACTGCTTTTAGAAATTTAAATTTAAGTTTGAAGACTTAATTTTAATTACTGTAGTAGGTAAAGCAAAGTCGTTAAATACTTGACATCAGGGATCCCATTGGTGTATTGATTTAGGTGTTTTCAAAGGTGGTTCTCCGCACCAGCCACTGGCGGAATGGCATATCTACCAATAAACAGATGGACTGGGTGGGCCTCGGGTACGGGTGGCTTGAGATGCAAATTCGAGGGTAGGAAGGCACCTTCCCCTCCCCCTACTCCCACCCCACCCCGCCAATCTTAAAACATTGAGCTTTCTAAAATTCTCAAACGTCCACAGTATTTCGTTGGCTTAAGAGTACTGTCAAATGAAGACGCCAGAAGTATTGAGTTTCTGGGTACATAATACTGTTCTGAGTGTTGAGGGAAGAGAACTAATACGAGATTTTAAAAAATGGCTATGGACAACCATCTTTCAGGTGTGATGGCAGGACATGTTGTATCACCTGAAACTTCCTGTCTTCGCCGCTAGGTGGTGGGTTTGAGTCTTTTGCAGCCTTTAACCAAGTTTCTAAGGTGTTTGGAGGAGGTACGTTTCAGTTTCAAATAAATGAACAACGTGTAACTCTAAGATGAGCAAAAATGTATTTTCCAACCACCCCCACGTTAATTTGTTTAAAAAACAATCAAGCCAAGGGTAATAATTCCTCGACATAATCTCTTAGTTTCAGACATATGGATTCAGACAATCCTAGAGGCTTCAGAGATCAATTCTGTACCTTAAGATATGAAGTTGGAAGCCCAGACAAGTAAGGTGACTTGACCAAGATTACATGGTTGCTGGGTAGAGAAAGGGCAACAAAAGCCAGGAGACAAGATTCCCAATTTCCAATTTAATGCTAGTTCCGCTACTCTACTTTGAAAAGTTCCAGTTTCTGCCTCACTTATTTTGAGTTGGGAACTAACTCATGATTGACCTGTCACAAAGACCTGTTTGGAAGAAAGGATAGGGAGGCAATAGTAACAGCTAATATTCATTGACCACCTACTATATGTTTATCATTGCAGCATTGTTTCATTCCATCCAAATAATAATGCTATGAGTAGATATTTACCACATTTTCCAAGTTAGGGACACAAGACTCAGATGAGTTAAATACGTTTGTCAAGATCACATAGCGGCCGGGCGCGGTGGCTCAAGCCTGTAATCCCAGCACTTTGGGAGGCCGAGACGGGCGGATCACGAGGTCAGGAGATCAAGACCAGTTGATTTATTTTTTAAAAAGCCTCCCATCCTCCCGCATCTTTTTTTAGAACCGCCAATTTCTACCCTCTTCTCATTTCTTGCTTCGCATCACCTTTAATAACACTGGTCTAGTATCTCCGCGATCCAACTTCCTACTCCTCTCCTGACACCTCCCTTTTCTGCAATCTAGTAAAACTATAAACAGCTCGCCCTGGGCTTTCTTCAAACGGCCTGAGGTCATCTGCTCCGTCACTCTCCCTTCTCACAGCTTCGCTCCAAACTGCAGAACGCACTTGGTTTCCCATTCATCTCAGATCTCGGGCATGAGACTAGGGCTTACGGAGGCCATCACGGCCACTCTTCATCGCCTCACCCAACCTGTGCAGCGCTACTAACTCAAGACCTCATTTCATTTTCGCGCAACACCCGTCTTGTAAACTATATCATCCTCTTTTTCCCACCCCGCAATAATGACTAGAAAAGTTAATTACTGTCAATCACACAGCCCCGCGAAACGGAGTCAGAATCCAACCCCAGCCTTCTCAGATCCTACGTAACACTGCCACTGTCCATATTCCGCCGCCCCTCCTACAGAATACTAAACCAAGTTTACAGCTACCGGCATTCTTTCACATACAGGCCCAACAGCAACAAGGCTCAGAAATTGTGTCTTAGCCTATCTTTCTCGTGCCTCGGACACCGCCGTCCATGTGATACGACAAGTGTTGCCAACTGTCGCTTAACTTGCACCGGCAACATGCATGTAAGATTACAATGATCCCCACGCTTGCAATCTTTTCTCCTTACTTCATAAGACTATTTTTTGTTATACTACTATTATTCATCAAGGCTCTCTTCGCCGGTTGAGTCATGTATTCAGCTCACGCATCCGCTTGCGGTTCCGACAGCCCCCGCCCACGCCTCTGATAGCTGGGATACAGCTCTGCCCTTCACCGCACGCCTGCAATTTTTGGTATTTTTGTAACCATGCGGTCACCTGTTCGGCAAGCGCTGGTCTTGAACCTCTTGACCCTCAGGTGACGTCTGCCACCTCAGCTCCAAGTGCTGAGATTACACGGCAGGACCACTCAACCGCCAAGCCAATTGTCTACTTTTCACACAAATTTAAGGGTTGTTGTCGAGTCACAGAGATCTAGTGAGAATTTCGGTAGCTACGTAATCTTGTTATTTTATTTTTTGTTTTTTTTGAGACGGATCCTCTGATCGCCCAAGCGGAGGTGCAGTGCCGGATCGTCAGCTCACGTCAAGCTCCGCCTCCCGGAGTTCGCCATTCTCCTGGCTCAGCCTCCCGATAGCGGTACTACAGGCGCCCGCCCCCTCCCCAGCTAGTTTTGTTGCTTTTTAGTAAGACCGGGTTCACTGGTTACGCCAGGAT